ACATTCCTTGGCCTTTTCCTGTGACCAGCCTGGATGGATTAGCTAACTTAGCCCCTCACTCCATGCTTCCCCAGTGGAACCAGGCATCCAAGACTAACAGCTCTCTCCAGCAGCTATTAGTCAGTCCCTAGCCAGACCAAAGCTCTGCTCACATCCATCAGCAAAGGGAATTGAACTGTCTGTTCTGGGACATCCAGGGATGAAGCTGGGTCTCTGCATTTGTGGCCTTGCAGGTTGCATTTCTCACCATTCAGGCCAGTTAAAGGCTGTTTTGAGAGAGACAGCATTCAACTGTAAAACTAGATGCTGAGATCTATGGTCCAAGCCCGGCTTGCCATGGTGACACCGCTCTGCTCTGGGATGTGCAGATGCCCTGAGGACTATTGCACAGCACAGGAACAAAAGTCATCCTTTGCACCACCATAAGGGTTTGCAGCCCCCCAACCCAACATGGGCACAACCCCTGTAGCTGCAGCCACAAACAAGGGCAACAGACTGGGTAGTTGTGGTGTACAAAGCTTTGGGACTAATTGCTCAGCTCTGCTTCTGCAGAGTGGTGTAGCAGACTTCAAGGTCTTTGGGAGCAGAGGTTGAAACAGTTCAGTGGGATGACTATTCTTTTTATCTGGTCCTTGGTGATCAAGTTTTCAGACAGGGCTTCTCCAGTGCTTGGCAGGCCTTTTCCTGCTTCTCTTCCTCTGTCACTTTTTTGGATAGCAGGTCCTTCAGATTTAGATGACAATGGATCGACTGACTCAGGAAGTGGCAGGAGGGGTACCTAGAGGCTTGGGAAATGCTTCAAGATCCTTGAAGCAAAGGCATGCAAGTAAATGCAGCATATTCTTGTTGCAGCTTTTCCCTTCTCCAGTAGAGTGGGATAGGAGATATTTCTGGTACCATTGAATATTTTTTTTTATACACTACATTACCTCCTCATTACTACAGAGACCCAAGTGCTGTACAAGTATATATTAAAACAAAGATGTCCCAGGGAACTTAGGGGTCAGGTACAGGCACTAAATGAGCTAACCACACACATTTTTGGAGCAGGCACCTGTAATGTGCACACCACAGTGTCTATTGGCTGCTTTCGCCTAGGCTTGAGCCACGGGCCAGCAAAGTGGAGCTGCGCTGACTGAGGACAAGAATGGCAGTAAATGAGAAACTCCAATAAAATGTGTAACCCTGAAGCGAAAAATTCCTCCACAGCTACCAACAGGTTGAGCTGATTGCATGCTAATTGCCAGTTATCTCCTTATGGTTAAGAGATAACGCCCTTTGTGGAGGGCTCTGTAACAATTAGCCAATCAATTAACATGCTTGATCCAAAGGCACACTAAAGTCAGCGAAGAAACTGGTACAGACTTCATTGGGCTTGGAGGCAGCCATGGGTGACCTTAGCCAATGCACTTGACATTTCCTGTTTCTCTTAGTCTCTCATTGACCCTGCATTAAAAATAAATTAACAATGGGTTTTCCCCACAACACACAGCCCTTCCTTGTTTGCTAGAAAAAGCAGCTTGAGGGAACCAGGACAACTGACTCTAATCTGGAGCTTGAGAAGAGCTGGATGCGTGGAGTATTAAAATAAAAAGTGGGGCAAAGATAAATGCAACTTAATGAAACCTAACATGAAAGGGTCCTTGGCCACACGCTGAACACCAACAAAAACACCCCCAAAGCGAGCAAAGCAGAGCAGGTTTGAACGAGACAAGGCTTAGTCTTGTGCCGCACCATATCTGCACATCCTCTACCTTCTCCTCCTGCAAGCTTCCCTTTGCTCTGACGTCTGCAGGTCCCTCACATTGGTGGTCAGCTGCTTACCAGTGCAGCTTTTCATTTCACTGTTACCCTGGCCTTCGGCTGATGGCATGACCTCCACTAGTTTCATCTCTGGCTTGTCGCAAGCAGTTCAGGGCATGGCCTCTCTTATCCTGCTGCAAAGGGGTTTTGGCAGTGTCTGTTAGGGTTCCCTCTAAGCACCCTGAACACACAGAAAGGATAAGTGTCAATAGGTAACAAAGGGAAGCAGAAATCATTCCTTCCTTCAGTTAGTTGAAGGGGGGGCATGATGTGATCCTATGTCACTCTCAGCTGCCGGGGATGTAAGGACACAATACACTCCTGCATTATGGACTGAGGTTTCCCATTGCCACCCCTTTCACCTAATACAGATCCTAGAGCAGGAACAGACTGTGACCCTGTCCTGGCCCCATTTCACGCAGAGCTAACCCAGGTACACATTCAAATTCCTACACTGCTAACAGTCCCACTGAATTCCATAGCACCAGGTATAAAGCTACAAAATCATGTCATGACAGGCAGCTCTAAGCTAGACTTCTTAGAAGGATGAGTTCAAATCCCCAAAGCTGGTCTCCAACACCAGTGATTAAGCGGCTAAATCAGAATACACTTTTTTATTTTCCTCATTGAGGCATCATGCACATCTAGGACCATTTTAAACACCTCAATGCACTGCAAGCTCCTGAAGGGGCACCCGTTCTATCATTCCCGGCATCAAGTTCTGCTAAACTAAATTTACTGGCTTAGTAATAGTTATTTAATGTTTTATGATCGCAAGAAGATTAATGGTAACGGTTTGTAATGCCCTGAACTCCTGCAAATTTTCTGTGGGAAGTAAAGTGTTTTTTTCATTCCTAAAAATCTACAGGGAGTATTTTTTTTCCTGGCTCCATTCTATTTCACTTAGAAGCTCTTGAGGCCAGGTAGTGTTTTTCTATTTGAGGCATCTAGCACACTATAAACTGGGTGAAATATAGCCTTCCCTAGATAACAGTTCTAGCCTACAGGCAAGCCAGATACCGTTATGCCAAATTCTCTCAACAGAATGACTCTCCTGAAGACAGCCAATAATGAGGCCTCTACGAGCCACCCAACACAATGGCAATCCTGGGTCTAATCAGGGAAATTGGTCTTTCCATTAAGCATGGAAAGCCATCACACTTAACTGTATGCTTCAAATCAGACACTCTTTTAGGGCTTGTGCCTTTGCAAAGAGAAGCTGCCTGACCTCTCTCTCTGTCTAGCAGAATAGCTATTGCTTGAGACTTCTGACGCTCTCTTGGAGCTGGAATTGTTAGCAAAACCTTTAGGAATATTTCTGGAGTCAGAAACATCCATATATTTGAAAAGAGAAATAGGAATTCTTTGGAGGCCTAGGGCTGGTTTCCTATAAGCAAACTGATGCTGAAATTAGCTTAACTTGCAAACCAATGCAAATAATTTCAGAAGCAGGATGACCACCTAGGGCATGGGGTCAACAATCTACAGCCCACAGGCTGGATCCAGCCCAACAAGCTATCCCATAGGGTCCAAAAAGCTCAGATACTGGCAGCATTTCAGCAGGGGGTGGGGTGGCTTGTGAGATGCTGCATCAGATGTGGTAGCAGGGAGAAGTGGCAGCCAAACCAGAAACATTGGCCCACCTGACTGATCTATTTTGGTACACTGCTCTGAAAAGGTTACCAAGCAAGCCCTGATCTAGGGGGCTGCAACTCCATCCTTTCCTTTTTCCAAGTCCATGAAAGCTTCCACCCTTTATTATGTCTTCAAAAAGCAGGAGGAAGCTGGATGCCCCTAATACCCCAAATATAGAAACAGCCTCACAGCATCACCAGCAGCAGGCAGAGTGCTCAGGATTGCCCAACCTAACCCATCTCTTGTGAATGCTTTTTTTTTTTTTTTTAATTACAGATTTTTGATTAAGCCACTCTAGAGCAAAGCATTGGTTCTGCTACAGTAATGTGAGGTCTCTACACAAATCATTTTTGCTCTAGGCTTCTAATAGAATCTGCAGTCCTGGCCTACTGAATGATTGAATATCTCAGATGCTCCTACATGTTTTTTCCCTTTGTTGCTATAGCAGAATGACAGATGGACAATAAACCAAAGGTGTCTACACAGTACCCAGCATAAGTCTCCATGCTGCTTGTCCCGATAGTCTTAGGAAGCATTATGACCATATCATTATCTTCCTCTATTTGTTATTAATATGCACAAGACACTATATTGTATTAGATTCCTGAAAGTAAATTGTTAATGCTCAACTTGTCAGTAACCAAGAGACACTCCCTTACCTTTGTGAGGCACTGTCTCTCAACAGTGCACAGCAAGCATTAAGCCCGCTTACAGGAACAAAGTGCAACTGTTTGTGCTAATCTGTGTTAAATTAATGAGATGTTAAGGGAATTATGAACTCGTTAAAGTTTGATTTAATGCGTGTTCCTCTTCTCAAAGTGGCGGGGGGAAAAAAAGAGGGACTTTATTGCTCAAGCCACTGAGCACAAACACTTCTTACCTTATTATGAGCACATTAATTATTCAGTCACAGCAGGACAGAGCTCTCAGCTGGTGCAGTACAACTGCAACAGCTGGTACATAACTGGAGACTTGTCTAAATGTGCAGCAGTCACAGGCTTAAATGTAAAAGAAAAAAGCCAAGTGCAGTGGAAACTAAACTATCACCTATGCTGACAAGTGGGGGTGTGTCTGGATAGAAGTAACACCAACTCATTCCTGGGTGCAAGACAAAGCAAGGATGTACAAATTTGTGACTATATATTACTGAAGCATGAGTGAACACAGGGGGAGAGGCATTCCAGGGGACTTAACAGGGACAGCATTTCACCTCTGGGTCACCAGTTCAAATTCAGAAAAGGGTGGCAGTAAACGTGCCCTTTTAGCCAGCAATGAAAGAAGTTTTGTCTAGAAACTAATAAACTATTCAGAAAGGAAGTTGAAGGAAATGTCTTTTTAGGGCCAAAAATTTGCATGCAGTTGTGAACCTATGTGAATGCCATTTTACAGTCCAGCCCATGAAACACCTTTGACTGCCACAGTTCTTCCCTGCCATATGTGAGGGCCCAGCTGTGGGCTAGGATAAATGGATAAGGGAAAAAGCAAGTTAGGTAAATAATTCATTCTCTGGGATGCCTGCCCACAGGTGAGTGAGGTTTTGCCACTTAATTTCAACTGCCAAAGAAAATTAAAAGCTCGTTTTATTGTAAAAATTGCACACCTATTAGTATCACAGTCCTTTATAAACACAATATACATTAAAATATTTTACATTCAGCCACGCACAAAAGTGTGCTTATGAAATTACAAAATGTACAACTTGGGGTCAAGTCAGCATCTAGAACATTTGAAATCAAGTCTCAGGAAAATGTTCAGTCTGTAAGAACTAGCCTGAACATTACAATGAAGTCATCTTTAGCGTCACACATTCAAAATGCAAGTAGATACATGTTTTACCTGTTTTTCAAGTTCTGTTCTTACTGCAAAAGGGTTGTAAATAATCATTCTTCTGGAGTATAGCACCTAGTTTCTTCATTCTAAAGAAGGCCCTATGTTATTATCTGTAAAAGGATAGATGATTCACCTCTACAACAGCTGAATTGTGATGGAAAGCTTCAGCTTTATCCAAAAAAAGTCCACAGGCAACTGAAAAAAAAAAAATCTTCATTGCATAAAAACAAATTTTACATACGCGTACCCTCTGCATACATATAAAAAATTGGATGTAGAAGTTAAGAGCTGGGAAAAGTGAAATGCTATTTACACTATTTTATAAAAGACCATTTTTTAAATATATTTAAAATGCAGACTGGAACCTCTCAGGTTATCAAGCCAGTACATGGTCAACACTAAGAAAAAGAAATAGGCGCGATAGAAGATAACAGCACTTTACTACTGCAGCTGTAAACAGTACATGGAAACATTTTTGTTTCTTTTATATAAAAGATCCTACATCTCACCACGCCAAAACTATTGCCATTCACAGATGCCACTGTTATTCTAAAAACAAACCATCGCACTAAGGGAATTTGTGGAAGGAAGTGACACTGTGTCATAACTCCACACGGTCTGCATTCTGTAGTGTAATGTTAGTAA